ATTCATATGAATTGTAACTTATGTTTTACGATACTGAACTGAATTGCTTTTTTATGCCTTAATTCATTGCTCAGTTCCCTGGTTCTTAAAGTTCTATATACATCAAGAGATATTGGAATCAGCACGGTTATAGCTTTCTCTTTGCTTAATGCAATTTAATTGGGGAGTATAGTTTAGTTCGAATGTGAGAGTGTTGTATTGGAATTGCTTTTGTGGTGATAACTTGTCGTGCGTATTAAATTGGTTGATATGATATAATCGTATTGAATATATTGCCGTTTTATGTTTGATTTGATTTGGTTCAGTTGAATGCTTACGCGAAGCGTGATGAGCGATCTGTAGTAGTTGATGTATGTGGCAGAGAACTTATCATAAACGTTCGTGTACTCGGCTTCTGTAGACTTTCTAATTCTAGCGACACTTCCGATGGACTCAATTTCTTTCGATTGAATCGCTCGGTCGTTCTTTTTACTCACCAACTTCTTATTGTCTTTATCAACAGTAATTCTTTTTCTAGTAAGTTGTAGCATTAGTCTCTCTACGAATACAATTCTTTGTTCGATTTTGTTCTTAACCCGAGTTGGTAGTAGAGCATCAGTATTACTGAGTCGAATTTGATTTAATTTTTTCGTCGTTATCAAAAAACGATCTAAGGAATTGATTGCTTTAGTATAAACGACCAATTCGTGGCAGTAAACTTCTTGCACAATGGATTGGTTTCCTAATATTTCGCTAAGAAGTAATAGGTTGTCTGAGGAAGGGCAAGTCCATATGAATCGTAAGATTTTTACCAAGCTACTGCCTGTTAAAAAGCAATCAGAAATTCGTTGTGAATATTTTGTTGAACATGAGAAAGCTTTACGGAACTTCATCGCAAGTAATAATTAAACCGAGGCATTCCTTAGTTGTAACTTACAACTTACAACTTGTAAGTAATTCGAATTTGTCGTAATCAGCATTATGCGCAAGCGACAATTTCTATTAAGATTGCTGTTTAGGCGTTTTTGCGAATGAACGCGTCGTTTCTGCATCAATTTCGTTTAATCAACTTTTTTATATTTCATTATGAAAATGAACAGATTCTCTTTTATTCTGCCGTTGTCATGTTTACCATCTCCCATTAAACACATTCATAGCAGAAGACGCAAATACACCATGATTGTGATGATAATGAAACGATGATAATAATAATTTTTCATTAGGTAAATTTGCATGTATCTCTAATGGTTGTTGCCTCACAGTTGATGAGGTGTGTCTAGCTAGGTGAATACTGTCTATCCGCTTCATCATATTCTCGTAGTCACAATCAAAGAAGAATACCATTTGGGACATTTTGAGATGTTCCAAGGACGGGGCATATGCAGCGTGTCAATGCCTTTCACAAATCACCCGAACGTAAGTTGACCTCATCTGCTTGGGTCAGACTCGGCTTTGACTTGAACTATTGCTTGAATTTAAGCTGCGGCTCATACCAGGTTTTAAGCGGGGACGCAGACTGAGGTTAGGCTGAATTAGCCGTGGTAATTTTTATAGTTCACCGCGGTGCTGATGTTCTGTCTTGCACTCCTCGTTTATTTGCGTTGTGTGCGCGCATTTTGGGCGCATTTCGAACGACTATTTTATAAATCTTTCGAAAGACGGCTAGTGAACTGTCATTATTGCGTTACGCAATAAATATAGACCACCCAAAACGCAGTCTATTGATTATTCAATTGGGTTGCAATTAGAAGTATTTTTTCGTATGGTAAATAAATGTGTGGATAAACGCTGTTGCAGCAAACCGGTTAAAGTTTAATAACATTCGCTTAATGATGAAGTAACAATGCTTGTTTATTTGATGTGCTGATTATTGCGTATAAATCAATAATATACTCTGAAACTGAGCACGGATAGAGCATCAGTAGTAGAGTGACAAATGTTCAACTCTTTCTTACACATTCATCTGAAAGATTGAGCTCTTACTTTCTCAGCTTATTATATGCTTCATTCTTAACCCTTTCAGCATTCTTTTCAGTCATTAGTCATCATCTCTCCGATTAGAATTGCTGACGTTTTTCTTTCAAGCTCATTTCTTGCCGTATAACACGTCTTTGATTCAGTTTCCAATTTTTACTTGCCATGTTCAACTTGTATTGAATTAATCCCTACTCTGTTATTATTATTACTTCTTATTTATTGATCATACAGTATCACTGCGGTGTACGAAACGAATATCTTTAAAGGTAATTGTAATGCTATAGAAGAATTCTGAAGTGAACAAGTTGTTTTACTCTATTCAGCTGGTACATGTATAATAGGGCGGGATAGACAGACGAACTATGCGGTAGATTAAAGTAAGTGTGTTGCACTTTTAACTTGAATTGTAGCTGCTGGTAGTAAGCGGTTACCAAGGTTACTAAGAACGACGCGTAAGTATTTGTTCGAGCTTTGTACTCGTTTCTTGTCTAGTCACCGCGCATGATGACGATACTTGCTCGTTCGCATTCATGCTCTGTATTTCCCTTCTTACGAATCATTACTGTTATCGATTACCACACTTCTTGATCAAACGATTAGAAGATAAGACGAGACAAGACGGAGAGTGCTCAACTGCCGTCTCAAATGACCAAGACGAATAAGTGACGAACTAACGATACTTTTCTCAGAATGCTACTGTTTGGGAAAGTCCGAGATAGCATTTCGAAATACAGTATTTTAAGAAGAGTACTGTTATTTCTGAGATAACCGATGCAAGATGGAAGGTCTGTCTCAATTGAATGAGTTGGTGAGAGTGATCTCTGGAAGCCATTATCTTCTCGCCTCGTCTCCATATTTATCATCTCATTTCATTCCGTTGGTTCCCGTGTTGAAAACGGGAAATTCATTTCGATATGGAATCCCTCATGATTGAATATGTAATTACGACACGAAAGAGTACTTATTTATTTAATCGGCAATTGCAACTCATTACGAGTTTATCTTTATCTCTTATCACCAATATCATATTCCTCTTTCCTTGATACCTTTCTATCCACACAGCGAATGATAATGGCACTGGGAATCATCTGTCTTCATGAAATTATAAGTTCGATTATTAATTTGATGAGCATGGAGGTATAAGACTACCCTCTCAAGTTGCCCAATAATATTCAGGGAGAGGAGCTCAAAATGAGTCCGAAAGTGCAGTCCGTCTGGACTGCTGGTAATACGCCCGTGATCGTACAGAGTAGCTGTTCGAAACAAGTGACAGTACTAAGCCAGTGATCGATCATACGATACCAGTAATAAACAACGATTTCAATCAATGTAAACGAATAGATCCATACCCATCGGCATATTAAACATTCCATATTCAGGCAATAATAAATTCCCACAGCGATCAACAAATCAACCGCTCATCAGTGTCCCAATAACCAGTCCGAATGCCTGTGCAATATTTCTGGCCGAAATTTTGCATGGAGCGGTTTCTGACCAACATGAACCAATATCGTCCGGTATTCCAAAAATTCATAATCGTCGTGTTTTTCGCACACCTAGACGTAATGGAAGAAAAATCCTGGGGCTAGAGTAATGCGCCAATTCACGTGAGATTCTCGAATTCGTGCCATTCACTGTAGGACAGACTGGCTGCGTAAAAGCACGAATATCCGTTTCGAATTTTTCATAATTGCGTTGTAAATCAGCAATCTTTCTCAAAAATACGTTGTCTTTTTACGCTCACTAATAATAACGTCAGAGTAGTTCAAGCACCAGTCCGTCCGCAAAAAAACTTTCAATCGCGCCAAATCAGGCGTTTGATTTGGCATCAAATAACGCTCAATAAACACAAGCAAGAACATTCANACATTCAAGATTCTGCACAAAAGACATCGCATGATCAAGCACTGTGTCAAGAGACATCAAACTCTGAAGCAGCAATCGTATGAGGTAATACAAGTAAGTGCATACAACTAGAGGTACAGTCGTAGACCATTTGAAAATGATACGGCTGCTACATGCACAATTGCCCTTCTTTTAACGACAGACAGGGTGTCAATAAAAACCTACCAATTGCAATAATAAATGTTATTATCAGTGTCGCTAGCATTAGAGTATGTCAATATTATAGAACAAAAATGCTGGGAAATTGAACTAATGGTTGATATGACAAAAGGTCTTTTAACAGTCACAAATGACAGCAAATGGCTTCAATTGGATTTAATTCAGTTCACCAGTCGACTGGATTTCTGAATCTTTCACACAAACTGAAAGGTTAAATGTGAAACGAAAAGAAGCAGTGAGAAGGCGATAATGCACAAATGAATCCATAAAAGGAAAGAGAACTGCACACTATCATATGACGAACACTAGTTTGTATCAAGTGGAAGCGCAATGAACAACGAATGGAATGAGTTCATCGTACAAAGCATCAGTGAAGATGTCTTTCAGTTGGATACGACTGAAGAATGTAGTTGCCCGTTTCACATTGTTATAAATGAATCATGTTAACAAGACATGCCAATCCTAATAAAATTATCACTTTCATCAAGCAAAAGAGTTTCCTAAACGAAAAGATAAAATAGAACTTATTCATTACAGCTTCAAACAAACGAATACAGTGATTGCCTTACATAAAATAATTCAGCGACAACATGAAATAGACTAACTATGCTAATTAAAAACAATACTACAACGTTTCAGTAGTGAAAACGACTGCTGCCTTAGTTTCATAATGCTCCTTATTGAAGAAAGGTCAGCTTCACGAATAGGAATATCACTAATGACATATGAAATTTTGACTTATTGTTAGTATTCATTTATATACAGTTTTGCAATGCTTTTCGTTATCCTCAAAAAGCATGCTATTTTAATATAAATCTTAGTTATATTGATGAATCGAGATTTCCGCGTGCTACGAAGATCACAGTCCAATCAGATAAATCATTGAATACTCAAACTAGCAGCATACCTTGCTCGAACATGAGAGGAGTGGATTCCATGAAGCTAGTGATGATAAACTGATTTTAAGTGGTCAGAAACAACTAACTTTCATCAGCAATGCGTTTATTATCGACGATCAGATTGTATGCAATACTAAGGTGGTGATGCGGATCATCTCCCAATAACGCATTTGTAACGTCTTCTTCTGCAACACCATATCTCTGAAATTTAACAACTCTACGGTCAATTTCGATATGCAACCTTAAACAAGAACAACTACTTTTGACAAACTTAATTACAAAACGCTGCTTGCGATCATCTGTATATACGGCTGGAATTATAAATGAACTACTAACCCGAGTGACCTCTTTAACAGCCTCTATGTCGACAATCGACGCCTCGCTTTCATTTATCGGCGGAAACAAATAAGCGGGCAGATCTTTTTGAAACCATTCATGCTGACTTCAATTCAATCCAATACACTTTTGAGTAATTAAAAAAGCATTCATTTGAGATTTTATCAATCGATTTTAGATTCAAGAACCAATTATTTCAAATTTTAGAATGTTGCCATAAAACAACAATTGAGATTCATTTTCGTTAATGACACAATGTCAGTTTTGAATTAATTGCTGAATCATTAAAATCATTTATCATCTAGTTAGAATGACATGTTTCACAATTGCATATGCACTCAACAAAATACACCGTCTATGCACTAAAGACCTAAATGAACTTAGTACATTTCTAAATAACTCACATAACATCTTTGATTGTTGCTCTTTTCATAGGATCAACTTGAAGCATATGCAATAAAAGATTCACCAATGGTTTTTCCAAATAATCAGGAATCGGAAAGATGCCCGCTGAAAACATAATAACTGAACTGTCACTTGATGAAATGTGCCAGTAGAAAAACATACTCAATTTGCAAATAAATGCATGAAATAGTTTGTCAGTTAGTAAGTACTATTACTGCTATCTTCACCATCGTTATTCTTATCAGTTCTGAACATAGCCTACTAGTCAAAGGTTCAGTTAATGATGAGTACTCTTTAGCTACCATCAATAACGAGTCTGAAAAGAGTAAACGAAAAACAAAAAGATGTGCCACTGAAGCAATCATGTAACAAATGAAATAGAACAACATTAACATTTAATCTTTCTGAATAATGTGGGAACGTGCTCATCATCAAACGGCAGTGTGCCACACAGCAACGCATACAATATAACACCACATGACCATACATCCACTTCAGGACCAGCGTACAATCTGTTGTTTCATTAAAATGATTGATTGATAAAAACTCCGACTATTAAGCTTGATAGTTATCATTGAAATGATTCAATGAAATACCATCCAAAAAACGAAAATAAAACTCACTTCCCAGAGATCACTTCTGGTGCAGCGTAATTTGGACTCCCACAGCTTGTTCTCAAGAAATCGCCATCAGTCATTATATTTGATAAACCTGAGAATAAGCATACTTCAAGATAAGAAATCGGTAAATTGAATACACGCGGTGATGACACCGTGTAAATGTGAAACATGAATGACTGAATGTGGTATTTTGCCGCTGAGTACTGCAAGCAAAAGAGGGAATAAGAATGTCACTTTCAATCTGAATGATTCAAATACGAACACTTCATCGTTCAACTGCATCACTGTCATTGGAAATTAAGTCTGCTTCAAATATAATTAGTGTGGTCATAATTCACAATGCAACGTACCAAAATCAGCAATTTTGACATTATTTTTATCGTCTAATAATAAATTCTCTGGTTTTAAATCCCTATGCACAACCATGTGGCGATGACAATAATCAACACCCGAAATGATCTGTTGGAAGAAACGACGTGCTTCTGGTGTCTTCAGCTGCAACACAGATTTTTTTCAAAGAAGCAATGATCAACTAATTTTCAAACTTCATTATTTTCGCAAGCTCTTAGCAAAATTCGAACCTTCAAGACATCTCTTCACCAACTGTGATCCAAATAAACAATTTTTTTTNTTTTTTTTCATAACGAAACTAAATTTATCTTATAACCAAAAGAAAAAAAGAGACATTAGATAATATTGAAACTTACTCTTCCATGTTTCACAATATAGTCAAATAGCTCGCCTCCTGATACGTATTCCATTATCATAAATATATCGGTTGGCGTACTAATAACTTGATATCTATAAAATCTTTTCATTGAAAATTTATTGCTGATCAAAGAAAGATGACCTTATGATGACACATTTCAAGTTAGAAGATGATAAACTTGAGAAAATCAGTGATCGCATGCACCTACAATCTGATTATATGAGGATGTCGGAAAAGAGAAAGATTTTGAATTTCTCTTCTGATCTTGCCCACGACATCAAGTGTTTTTATTTTCTGACGATTCAGGATTTTAACCGCTACTTTGTAACTGGTTGCTTCATGAATGCCAACTGAAATAACATCATGATTACATGAGAATACTGAATACATATGCTTTTTTCATCACACCGAATATTTCTTCATCTGTATCACTATCACCTTCTTCACACGTCAAACAGATAATCTGTTGCGAGTAGAGATAACACGTAACACGCTCTTATTTTTATTTGTTTTTGCTTTTATTCTTCTTCAACAATGTTTTTATTCCCGTGCTAATTAACGCTTTCTAGTATACTCAAGATTTTCCATCTCAGCATTTCTTATTTTAATTATTAATCAAGCATTTATAAAGAATTATGCACCAAAAAATCATAACCTTTAACTTTGCCAAATGTCCCAACACCGAGAGTTTGTTGAAGGATATAATGCCCGATCTTGATCTGCGCTTTCGCTTCACGATCTTGTTTCGACAGTTCGGTTGATGCCATTTTTTTCCGCGAACTCAAACAATGGATTTCTTTTTTAAAACAAGTTAAGCCGACCGTGTCCGCGCTGGACATTTACGCGTGATCACAAAACAAATTCGGTTATCTACAGATCGAACAATTCCCAATTTTTTGATAAAACCTAATCCTAGAATTCTGGACACAGTTTTCCATGGGGGTGACTTTCGCCTTGGTTAACCTTCTGTGAATGAGAAAACACACGCATTTTACTCTAATCAAGAACCAGAAACGTATAGAATAAGTACTATTCATGTACTTCAACAAGCGTGTCATAAGACAGAGCTGAATGTGAAAATAACAACGAAATGAAAGATTATCATCGATTGTGAAATTTATTTTTGCCATCGGAAAAGAAATAATACTGACACGCCACATCAAAATACGACGACCCCACATGCATTATACGTTTCATTAAAAATGTAAATTAACGGCCACCTACACACTGAAACGCTAAATTAGCGATAAATTACTCAATCGATCGAAGGAATATCATTGGTAGTTTTAATCTTCCATATCCACATATTTTATTACAACGTAGTGAAATGATGACTGGTTTGGATTCGAAGTATCTCTTTTGGAACTACTGGATTCGATTCGACTAGGCCGGAAGATACAGATGACGTTTAGTTTTTCGTTGGAGCNGGAATACAAAACCGAACAAACCGAGCCGGTACGAACGGGAACCAAATGTTTATGGTTCGTAATTAATAAATCAAAAAAACTGACATCTACGAATAAAATCCATCTCATGAACCTCGTTTAGAGGTCTGATGTGAGATTCTTCCTAATAGTTCAATTCGGAACTCGTTTCAACTTCAGTGAGAACATTTCATAGCTATAGTTAAATCATGTGATTGATTGATCGAATCACTATTACTATTGAATACTCTTATTACCACTCTTATTGAATAATATGTAAATCTCACACGGCTCTAGCAATGCAAGCTTCGTCCGGCATACAGGCACCTCAAGTGTGCTGGTACATCCGTATGATGTTTACAGTCTAAAGCGCAGATAATTTCGGAGATTGTGTAAACAGAACAAATAAAATTTTGGCAGCATTCCAAAGAGATGCACGACAATTGACCAAGCGACAACTGTCAGCACGACGTTTAGCCAACA